TTATGCAAAACTTTACTAGAAAAATAACACTTTTTAATTTGTTTCCTTTTGTTTTGAGATGGAATCTCGCTCTGTAGGGCAGGGGCCACTCCAGGCTATAGTAGGGCAGTCTCAAGATATAAGTTCACTGCAACCCTCATCTCCTAGGTTCAAGCGATTCTCCTGCCTCAACCTCCCCAGTAACTGGGATTTCAGGCACCCACCACCATGCCAAGGTAATTTGTTTTATTTTTGGTAGAGATGGGGTTTCACCATGTTGGCCAGGCTGGTTTCGAATTCTTGACCTCAGGTGATCCACCCACCTTGGCCTCCCAAAGTGCTGGAATTACAGGTGTGAGCCACAACACAGGCTTTTGCTTTGTTTTTAAACAGTCTCACTCTGTTGCCAGGCTAGACTGCACTGGCATGATCACAATTCACTGCAGCTTCCAACTTCTGGGCTCAAGCAATCCTCCCACCTCAGCCTCCCCGGTAGCTAGAACAAGCATGCACCATCACCCCCCACTATTATTTTCATTTTTCATGTCCCATTAATATTCTCACTATGTTGCCTAGGCTGGCCTCAAACTCCTAGGTTCAAGTGATCCCGTGCCTCAGCGCCCCAGCGTGCTGGTATAATAGACATAAACCACCACACCTAGCCCCTGCTAATTAAATAAAAATTTTTTATAGAGATAGGGTCATACTGTGCTGCCCAGGCTGCTCTTGAACTCCTGGCCTCAAGCAATCCTCCCACCTCAGCCTTCCAAAGTGCTGGGATTACAGGTGTGAGCCACTTTGCCCAGCCCAGAAATAACACTTTTTTGAAGAGATTCGTTCACACATGATCCTCATCCAAACAGCAGCCTCAACTAACATGTACCAAAAATGTTCCTAATTTCTAAAAGATCAAATTTGAATGAGTACCATTAATTGTTATAAGTAATAGAAATTACTGATAATGACAGATACAAATAAAAAATTAAGTAATTTTAATATACAAATAAGCCAAATGCAAAACACAGAATTATTTCCAGGTGAAAGACATGAAAGACAGATTAATCTCAACTCTAATTTCAATGCCAACAACTGACCCCTAGATAACTTCTGGATTTACTACATATTCATGTCTACTAAGAACCGGCAAATTCTTAATATAAACCATACTCTTATGGTTAGTTATGAACATCCAGTCTTTCTAGTATCCTGTAACTAATGAGCTGCTTTCTTATTGTTAAAATGGCATCATAACATGGTACCAAATGTCATGTATATACCTTGTTACACAGAAAGCTTATTTTACATCAACACCCATTCAATAATGTGCCATATCCACACTTTCCCCAAAATCGACATTATAAAAAATACGATAATTCTTTTCTATTCAGTGCACTCATATTTTTGATCCTGTATACTGCTGTATTTCTTTAATACCTCTCAGAGTTTAAATTCGTTTGCAATACTATCCTTTAGTTTGGAAGCAATGTTTTGTTACCATCAAAATAATCTTAAACTAAAAGCCTTTAAATCCAGCTGATTCTCATAAATTCTTCCACCTTTAAAACATGAGAATTATAACCAAATTAACAAATCAGATATCAGAATGCCAAAAATTAAGTCATTAAAAGAGAATCCAGTGAAAGAGCCAGTTGTGAAAGAACAGGAAGTGATGTACACTGCCATTTTGTAGATGAACTATTTAGAAACATAAGAAGTGCCATGCTAATCTGGAATCAACTCAGACTATTAGCTCTCAGCATTTTCTTTCTGTGGCATCAGAGGTCATCTGAAATAACCCTCAGGCAATTTTTCCTTAATACTGTATTTATCTAATTGAACATGAACATACTTTTCCACTTTTAGGCAACATTTCTACCAGCTACGAAAGAGGTTTTTTTTTTTCAATTGTCTTAAAGAGTACTCATTAGTTATAGCATGATGAAACAAAGCAAGTAAATAGTTAACCTACACCCTATGTAAATCCTTTAAGTTTTATAGCCTTTACTGATAAATCTGCTCTGCCTACAACTTACCAAGGTAAAAGCAGTCACTCTACTGAGCAGTACACTTGGATCAACACATGCTGGTATATATGAATCAATTATCAACAAGCCATAATAATGGAGAATTAGATTTCCTGGCTTAACGTGCCATAAAGGAGAAAACTCTATATATCAACAACATGCAACTTTGTCCCATGAAATAAATACTCAAATGAATAGTGTTATTTCAGTTCAATGAATTGAGATGACCATTAAAAGGGAATAAAGCAAAGAGAATTCCATCTTCTGAGACAAAAACATAATAAAATGTATTTAACATACCATGTCTCCTACATCAAAATCATGATATAAAACGACAGAAATTAAGCTAGTATCTAGTGCTGCTACTAACATCTTTATATCCCTATCTTAAAACAGGTTTCAGAATGCAACAAACACATCAAAAAAGCTCTACTGGACAACATTTAATGACAACATAAAATGTACATGGCACTTGGAGGTATTGAAAAATAAGTAACTAAGTAGAGCTTAAAACACTAAATACAGAAAAGACAACTCATTATCTGTATATATTTTAATCTTCTTCCTCACTTTGTGAAAAAATTATTTAATTCTATTAATAGTCATATGTGGAACATTTTGAAATCACGTCACCAGTATTTACTAAACACTTAAAAAGAAAAAAAAACGTATCCAGTACATGGAGACTTGAAAACTACTCTGGTCACAAAAAGCACTTGGCAGCACATTTCCAGAATGTTTAAATTTTTATTTATTTCTAGTCAACTAAGGACAAAACCAACAAGTACGGTAAACCAGGTAAGATTGTTTTCAGACAAATATGATAGAAAGCAAAAGAAGTGAAAAAATGACTGACTACAGAAAATAGATTACAGAATAATTAGGCAGATTAATAAAGCATCAGCTACAGAAAGGTTTGTAACCTAACCATTTTCAGAAAATTCCAATTTCAATATTACACAAAACAGTATTAACACTAAAAATTCACAGCTTAGGGAGAAATGTTCATCAAACAGCCTGTCTGTATGTAACAATCGTTAATAATTTTTTTTTTTTTTTTTGAGACGGAGTCTCACTCTGTCGCCCAGGCTGGAGTGCAATGGCACGATCTTGGCTCACTGCATCCTCCAACTCCTAGATTCAAGCAATTCTCCTGCCTCAGCCTCCCGAGTAGCTGGGACTACAGACGAGTGCCACCACGCCCGGCTAATTTTTTGTATTTTTAGTAGAGACGGGGTTTCACCGAGTTAGCCAGGATGGTCTCGATCTCCTGACCTCGTGATCCACCCACCTCAGCCTCCCAAAGTGCTGGGATTACAGGCGTGAGCCACTGCGCCCGGCCAGTAATTCTTGATGAACTATAAAAGTCATAGAAAAAAAGAAGGGAAATGAGGATGAGGAGGTACAAAATTATTTTTTTGAATTCTAATGAAAATCCAACCTGCTAACAAAAAATGTCAATCCAGACATCTCTCAAAAAGACATCAAAACCGTTCTAACATAAGCGGGGTCCCTCTCGAAAGGCCATGTCCCCTAACAATAACACCAGGAATAGATACAGATACATTTCCCATGGACAGATCTCAGGGAAAGAGTATTAAAACGGTACTGTCATGAATTTAAAACCAAAGGAAAAAGAGTAACCTTTTCAAGGGAAGCGCCATTACTTCCCTCTCCTGCTCCCCCTCCCTTCTGTGTATACATGGGTCTGTGTATGAAGAAACTGCCTTGGACTTCTGCAGCACTGCAGTAGACCAGAGGATGAGGAAGGGGGAAGGGTAGGGGGAGAGAAACGCTTCCATCACCCCTACAGAAGAGGGGTATAGATTTCCTGTGCTGGGGGGTGGAATCCACCCAGCAAGACACCCAGAGCAGTCTCCCTTCCCAAGAATCCATACACACTACAAAGGAGAAGAAGCGGGAGAAGCAGGACCAGAAGGGAAAGGGACCTCGTGCCTTTAAACCGGGGTGCACATCAACCCAGTCTCCCAGTGAGGGCCACACCTTCCTCGAAACATCCCCTTCCACCACCCCTTCCGGTGACCCTCAGGAAAAAGGAATGGAATTGCTCTAGCCCCTTAAAACGGGAGGGCGCCCAGCTCACCAGCCTCTTCAACCCACCCACAGAATCACAGACCCTCCCTGTCTTCCTCCCCCACCCCACCTCCACATCCCTTCTTCCACACACAGGCCTCAGTGGGCCGAATTTCCCCGCCCCCCTCCGTATCTCCCTTTCCCAAAGCAGAGGTGCCCTTACCCTTTCGCCGATAGGTCCGGGGCGGAGCAGGCAGGCGCAGCCCCCTGCAGCGCTCCGGTAGCTGCTACCCTGGAGGGCGAGGTGAGGAGGAGGGGGCCCGGCGACACAGTGCCGCCCCCCCCCCCGGAGCCCCAACGAGCCGCCAAGCCCAAGATCTGCAACAAGGGGCGGGGGGGGGGGGCGAGGGGACAACCGGGGTCGAGGAGGCGCCCTCAGCTCTTGGGCTCAGTTAAGATGGCGCGGGGAAGTGCCGGGAGCAGTCGCCGCCGCCGCTGCCTCGGGGGAACCGGCCGGGGCCTCGGCCGCCTCCTGTCCTCACACAGCCGAGGCCCTCTCGGTCCCCCGCCGCGGCCCCTAGGCGGGCGGGCCCACGCGCAGCCCTCCGCCACCACCACCACCCCTGGGAAGGGGGCGCTCACAAAGGGAAGAGAGGCCGCGGGCCAGCCGGCGGACGGCGGGGCGGGGTCCCCCGGGGCCGGGAGGCCTCAGATGTTCGCGAGTGCCTAGTGCTCTCGGCCCGCGAAGGGCGCAGGGCGGGCGGGACCCCTCCTCTCTCCTCAGGCAGGCGGCGGCACCGACTCACTCTCTTTGCCACCCTCCCTCTCTCTGCCCGAGCCCTGAAGCCACAGAGGCCGGCCGCTGCCCAGGTTCCCCCCCCTTCCCCGACACCACTCCCCTCCTCCCGACCGTCATCCCTCGTCTCCGATCTCGCGAGATTTCCTGCCTGACAGGCCCGACCCTGCGCGAGACACGACTACATGCGCGCGCGCCCTCACAGGAGCGCGCAACGCTTGCTACGGGCGGAGTCGTCTGGGGGACCCGGAGTCCCGGCCTCTGTCCAGCATGGCCTCACTGAGTTCGCGGAGCTTCTAATTGCCACGCGGGCGTCAGGTGCATTCATTTCACCACGGAGATCTGAAGAAGAAGAGCTTATTTGCACTCCCTTTCCTTCCCTCTTCCCACCCCCAAAGCATCCGCCCGCTGCTGGTAAGTTTGCCCTGTAGTGTGAAATATCCCATTCCTACACAGCTTGGTTCGCCACGCCCTCCCCCGTGGAATTCAGAGGTACACTGGGCAGCATAATCAATATGCAGTTGAGTTTTTGAGATTCTAATAGTTTATAGTAATTTTTGGAATGACAGTAAGACTTGGAAATACAAATCTAAGCCACTCTATATATTGGTGATGGTAGAAAAGAGATAAAACTTCTTGAAAAGTAACTGTGGTAGTTTAGCAGGTTGAGAAATGGTAAGTTTTGGAACAAGAGCAGCAAACAAACGGAAGAGTTCTATGCAGAGAAGTAAAGTTTATATTCTTTCATCTCAAAAAAAATTTTTTTTTGGGGGAACATCCCTTCAGTACTTATTCACAAACCTAAAAGTGTACCCAAAGTGCAGTTATAAAAAAAAAAAAATCGTGGTTCTGGCCGGGCACGGTGGCTCAAGCCTGTAATCCCAGCACTTTGAGAGGCTAAGGTGGCGGATCACGAGGTCAGGAGTTTGAGACCAGCCTGACCAACATGGTGAAACCCCATCTCTACTAAAAATACAAAAAAATTAGCCGGGCGTGATGGTACATGCCTGTAATCCCAGCTACTCGGGAAGCTGAGGCAGGAGAATCGCTTGAACTCGGGAGGCAGAGGTTGCTGTGAGCCAAGATCACACCATTGCACTCCAGCCTGGGCAACAGAGTGAGACTCTGTCTCAAAAAAAAAAAAAAAAAAAGGAAAAAAAGAAAGAAATAGTGGAACTGAGCTGAGGCACAGAGAATTTTAACTTGTCAAAGTTCTTTTTTTTGAGATGGAGATTTGCTCTTGTTGCCCAAGCTGGAGTGCAATGGCATGATCTTGGCTTACCACACAACCTCTGCCTCCCAGGTTCAAGCGATTCTCCTGCCTCAGCCTCCCGAGTAGCTGAGATTACAGGGATGCGCCACCACACCCAGCTAATTTTTTGCATTTTTGGTAGAGATGAGGTCATGTTGGTCAGGTTGGTCTCGAACTCCCTACCTTACCTTAGGTGATCCACCCACCTCAGCCTCCCAAAGTGCTAGGATTACAGACATGAGCCACCATCCCTGGCAAGTTGTCAAAGTTCTTATAGCCAGTTTGTGGTAAAGCCAGTTGTCAAACTCAGATTTTACCCTGAGCCACTATATTCTTGTTTTTCTTTTTGTTTTGAGATGGAGTCTCACTCTGTCACCCAGGTTGGAGTGAAGTGTCATGATCTCGGCTCATTGCAACCTCCACCTCCCAGGTTTAAGTAATTCTCAGAGCTGCTGCATTCTATTACCTTGAGAGAATATAAGGACTGAAATTGCTGTTGCCTTTTGCTTTGAAGCCCCAGAACAAAGGCAATTAGTGGAAAACACATTCTCAAGATAAAAACAGATCACTGAAGCTCTGGAACTAACTGAAGTCAATCCTAATCCTGACTTTTTAGCATGTGTGTACCAAAACATTCCTGTGTTTCTGAAGCTACATTGGGTCTGATGCTCCGTTGTTTGCAACCAAATAGTCCTCACACAGAACTGTTGTTAGCCTTTCCCACCAGGTTATGATCTCCACAAGCATATGGATGTTTGTCTTATTTATATCTATGTCCACAAACTTAGCATAATGTATCTAATGACATTCAACAAATGTTTGCTATCAGTTCAATAATTCTGCAAACATTTTCTGCTATGTGTCAGAAATTGGGTTAGGAGTGGGAAATATTGAGAAAAGTGAGTGAATGAAAGCTGTTTGCCTGGAGTATATGGAAGAACAGCTACTGCAAAGGTTAGTGTGATCAAGAACTCTAAGGAAAGATGTACACACATGCTAGAGTCCTCTGAAAGTTGCTGTCACTTTGGCCCTATGTGCCTGGCCGACGGGAATTTCTGGATTCTTACCCATGTTAGATGTTTTCAGGATTGTCTAACGTTCTCTTTTTTTTGAGACAGAGTCTCACTCTGTCGCCAGGCTGGTGTATGCTGGTGAGATCTCGGCTCACTGCAACCTCTACCTCCTGGGTTCAAGTGATTCTCCTGCCTCAGCCTCCTGAGTAGCTGGCATTACAGGCACACACCACCACGCCCAGATAATTTTTGCGTTTTTTAGTAGAGATGGGGTTTCCCCATGTTGGTCAGGATGGTCTTGATCTCTTGACCTCATGATCCGCCCACCTCCCAAAGTGCTGGGATTATAGGCATGAGCCACTGCACCCGGCCAGGATTGTCTAAGGTTCTAAGAGTTTCTGGAAGTCACCTGCTTCCCAAAGTGATGTACATACTAGAGTTATACCTGGTCCTGTCATGTAAACGATGTTTTTTATTTTTTGTTTTTTTGAGACAGAGTTTTGCTCTTGTTACCCAGGCTGGAGTGCAATGGCGCGATCTCAGCTCACCGCAACCTCCGCCTCCTGGGTTCTGGCAATTCTCCTGCCTCAGCCTCCTGAGTAGCTGGGATTACAGGCACACGCCACCATGCCCAGCTAATTTTTTTTATTTTTAGTAGAGATGGGGTTTCACCATGTTGACCAGGTTGGTCTCGATCTCTTGACCTCGTGATCCACCCACCTCGGCCTCCCAAAGTGCTGGGATTACAGGCTTGAGCCACCACGCCCAGTCTACGATGTGTTTTCTGCTACGCTTCTCTGTGTCTCTTGACTTTCAAAAGTATATACTATAAAATGAATATGCTCTACCCATGTCTCAGACTTATAGTGAAGATCAAAAGTGGTGTGGATATGAAAGTTCTTTTGTATCCAGGTGATAGCTGCTTTCTTTCACCTGACCATAAGTACTAATACATTCTACTCTAGCTAGCATCCCCACGAAAACCTTATCAGGTACCCTCAGTACGGTTCTATTCCACTGGTAGTGAACATCTGTGGTTCTTGTCTGTCCAGAATTTCTCCCTCATCTGGCAAAAGTTCCCTGTGGCCAAGTGGTTCACACTTGTAATCCCAAGACTTTGGGAAGCCATGGTGGGGGGATTGCTTGAGCTCAGGAATTTGACACCAGTTTGGTCAACATGGGGAAAATCTGCTGCTACAAAAATTACAAAAATTAACAGGGTGTGCTGGTGTGCATCTATAGTCCCAGCTACTAGGAGGCTGAGATGGAAGGATCATTGAGTCTGGGAGGTGGAGGCTGCAGTGAACCCTATTTATGCCACTGCACTCAAGCCTGGTTGGCAAAGCGAGATCCTGACTTAAAACAAACAAACAAACAAAAAAAACAGTACTCTATAGTTCTTAGAGAAGTTTCCTCTCCATTGTTCTGTGAAGCTTTTGTGGGGCTGCCACTCTGGGCTTCTTGCTACAGGTGGGCACCATCACAGCATGGGCAACCAAAATATCTCACCCCTTGGTGAAGCAACTAGGGCAGGGAAGGGCACATGACACAGAGACCAAGCTGGACCACACAGAGATGTTTATTTGGATTTTATATACTGGTATGTGTGAGAGAGAAGCTTTGCTTTGCCTGTGGGGTCATAAACTGGGATGGTGTAAATCTAGACCGTCTACAGAAGTTCCTCCCACACAGACCCCATCTCCCTCATCCAGGATCCCACTGTTGCATAAAATAAACTACCAAGATCCAAGCTTTCCTCAGTATGATCTATGTGAAGCCTGCTTAAATTGCTTATAAAGCATGTCTATGGTTCATAAGCTCCTCCAAGTTCTGATCTGCTCAACCTCACAAAGTCTCAAATGCCTTCAAATTCTACATTTCAATATTCTAACATTTTTGTGGGGAGTAAATTTATAAAGAGGAGAAATAAAGGACAAGTTTCATGATAACCATTTACATAGCACCATTTGATAACCAGGCCAGACCTCTGTCCCCTCTTCAGCAGTTTCTGGGCAGTGGGTAGGAGAGAGCAGGTTATGCAGGAAAGGTCACCACAGGCAAGCTTAAGTGGTTGTCTAAAACCTGAACTTTGAGACACTCACTGTCTCTAATGAGTATAATACAACATATCAGAAAAGGAAGCATTTGAATTTTTTTTTTTTTTTGAGACAGAGTCTCACTCTATTGCCCAAACTGGAGTGCGGTGGCATGATCTTGGTTCACCACAACCTTTGCCTCCCGGGTTCAAGCAATTCTCATGCCTCAGCCTCCTGATAGTTGGGATTACAGGGATGCACCACCATGCAGAGCTAATTTTAATATTTTTAATGGAGAAGGGGTTTTGCCATGTTGGTTAGGCTTGTCTTGAACTCCTGACTTCAAATGATCTGCCCGCCTTGGCTTCCCAAAGGGTTAGGAATACAGGCATGAACCACTGTGCCTAGCCAAAGGAAGCATTTGATTAAAACATATTAGAAATTTCCCTGGTTCATTTCCTGTGTGTAGACAGTATCAATGGCAGCATTCAGTGTTGGGATGTATTAAACTAGGTGGCAGCAGCCAATACTCGAGTCCCCAGTTCACCAGCTGAACCTCCTACCCCAATATGGACGTACAACTTTATAACAAAACCTAATCCATAGAGGAAAATGCCTAGGGATTGGGAGCTGGGTGTGGTGTGTGGAGAGACAGAAAAAGGGGAGACAGAGTAAAACACTTAACAAAACTCTTTAAGCTTCTGCAGCACTGATTTTTCAGTTACAGAGCCTAATATATGTTTTTTTTTCCACCCTTAAGCTGATTTGAATTGTCACTTTCAACCACAAGACTTTCTTTTTTTTTCTTTAAGACAGGGTCTTGCTCTGTCACTCAGGCTGAAGTACAGTGTGGATCATAGCTCACTGTAGCTTTGAACTCCTAAGCGCAAGGGATTCTCCAGCTTTAGCCTCCCAAGTAGCTGGGACTTACAGTCACACACACCCATACCCAGCTAATTTTTTTTATTTTTATTTTTATTTCTTGTAGAGACAGGGTCTTGCTGTGTTGCCCAGGTGGGTCTTGAACTCTAGCTGTAAGCAATCCTCCTGCCTTGGCTTGCTAAAGTCCTGGGATTACATGCATGAGCCACTGCACCTGGCCCCAAGACTTCT